CTTATTCTTTTTATATATATTATTTGTATTTTTAGATATATTATTTATATTTTTTGTTATTGTAAAATGTCTTTTTTATAGAGGATTTCGATCCGTAAATAAATAAATATACACTTTTTTCAATAATTTTATATAAAACTTTGTCTCATTGCACTTTATATGTGGAAGGAGTGAATAAAATTCCCCGTCAACACATCTTTTTTTCCATGCGTTGTGAACCCACATTCTTCTCCTTCTGTGATGATTTCTTTGCCAATTAACATTTTCATCGTATAAAGCAAGTGCTATCATCCCTAATCTACTATTTTTAAAACTTCTTAACATTTTTTATCAATGAAACGATGTATGCTTCGAACCATGTAGCTTTGAAGCTACTGAACTACTGAGTTATCCAACATAATACTAAGATATTAAGGTCCTCTGACACCGTCACCGCAAGTCGGCCAACTGTTGGATGCCACACGGCATGGGCTCAGTGTGGTCATGTGGGGCTCAGCCTTAAGTCACAAGATTACCGAGTAATATTGTTTCTACTCAAGAGAGACACCAATGAAGTGAAATGAATGGAAACTTAGTGGTGAGGTAGGATATTAGCAGCTTGAATTATTGATATTCATATTTTTAGGAGGAGCTTTTCAAGAATTTTATCAACAAATAAGACAAAGCTAATAAATTAATTAACTGATATAACTACCGTTTTAGACACTTTTTCCCATGTTTTCTTCAGGCGAAATACAGAACTGTTTGTGAAAGCTGCACAGACTTGGAGAACACCGTTGAAATTGTGTAGGCATCTTGATATATCCGCTACTGCAGCCCATTTCTCAATAGCATGAATCCTAGCTGTCATATTTGGCCGTCTAATAATTTCTGATACTACTAGCTGGGAAACCTGAAAAATTATATTATTTATTATAATTTTCAATAATTGGCACAAAAAATGATAAAACTTAACCTCATTGAATCTCCTTGTCATTAAAATTATGTGGGGTGCTTTTGTTGCCTTGTCTGTTTTCATCCATGCTTGCCCTAAGAATTCTCTGAAAATAGACAAATTGTTGTATGTTAAAGTGTATATTTATAGGAAATATTTTTTTAAGGATTTAATTTGATGAATTAGGATTTTGAAACTTACTCGCTCCGAATGGAGACAAATATTTGATGATCCACATATGTCATCTGTTCAGCTATTTCTAGTGCAGATAAAGTCTCTATACTTTCTTTGCTTGGCGTCTGAAATTTATTTCAAATTAATCATCTAAATGTATACCGATCCAACCGATTTTACCATTGGCACTGCCAATAGTTGGTCCAGGTCAACTTTAGAGCTTTCTTGTTCCTCCTTTGTTATCAATCTCAGGAGCTGAGATGCCGCTTTATGCTCTGCTGGTAAAAGGTTAGGACTGCAAATTATATCTTCTAGAAATTCTATAGTTAGACATTTAAGCCTGTGGTCTTGTTCAAAGTCCTGAAAATTTGACGAGTATTATTCCTTGCAACGTAATTGCAATTTTTAAATAGATACCTGGGCGTGCTTCGAAACCCAGTGCCTGAGTACATTCAAGACTCGCATGGTTGCTGCTGTAGACATAACACTTTCTTTTCGCCGTCTCTCTCGACAAGAACCGGGCCTCGAATTCGGTTCTGAGCTTTTACCTTTAAAACTTCCTCCATTGTCCATATCTCTTGGGTTACTCGAAGCAGAAGTCGCTATTGCAAATGCTGCAGCAGCAGATGATGTACTACTCCTTTACACATACACAATTAAAATTATTAGTTTATATAATTTTAATTAAAGTAAAAATTCTGTAATTCCATATATGTTATATATGTAAATTATTATTTCTATTCTTAATTAATAATTCCAGTTTTCATTATAATTCATACAATGTTAATTATAGTTTATGTACAGTATTAAATTACCATTGTTATTTCATGAAAAAAATATTAAAGCAATACTTTAGAAATGGAAGACTTTTTTTTCTACTTCACTTGCATTTTCATAAGAAAATGAGAAAGCTTTCTAATTAACACACACTCAAAGCATGTCAGGGCAAACGCCTACCATTCTTTACAAAAAGGCAATTTCTATCACTTTTGAAGTTTGTTAATAGTTGATTAGAAACTGCACGTCTTGTATTAAATATAAGCTTTTCAACAATCATGCATTATTTGTCTAATGGATACAAAAATAAGAATAAAATTAATCATTTAAAAAAAAATTATCTTGAAAAATCAATATTTTCAGATCCTACTTTTCAGCAAAAAATAAATAAATAAAATAAAATAAAAACAAATATTAATAAAAGCATAAACATTTTATGACACTTTAAGAAAAAAAAATTTGTTTCAGTTCAGCAAAATGCTTCAAATCTACGTCGGCTGTTTCTGAAGCAATTTATTTTACAATTCAAGGTTCAGACAGAAATACAATAGTGAAAAATCAAAGTTCCATTGGATTTCATATGTGCAGTCGATTTGTACAGCCACTTTTGAAATGACACTGCATTTCCAAGAGTTTTGTAAGAATCTTGCCTAATATTCAAACGCAAGCATCTTCACAAGTAATAAATAATTAAATTAAAAGAGAAAATCATAAGAGGAATATATTTTTAAATAGAAATATGCATTTTAAAAAATGTGAAAGGTTAAATTTAATTATTAGTAGCGAATTAAGACATACTACTACAGATGTTTATGATTGTCAATTTGACGAAGCACAATTTTTCAATAAGCTGTGTAAAGTTGCATAAAAAAGTTTAAAAAAATGTTCTTTTAATAGACCAAACTAAACAAATTAGTATAAGCATTTTATTATTAATACTAGTTATTTGTGAGTCTAAAGGAATGGTTGTTTCATCTGGGAAATATATTTTTTGCCATGAAGGAGAATGATTATTCATTAGTATCTTAATTGTTTTAATCCATTAATAAAGTTAGTAAATTGTTGACAGTATGTCCTTCAGGGCACACTTGAAAAGTGGAAAAGAAAGTAGAGGAGAAAGGTCTACTTGGAAAAAAATTAAATTACTCACCAAAGGGGCTCGTGCCTGAAGCTTGAGAAGTAAGAAAACACTTTGACATAGCATAACATTAAAGATCAATGATGAAAGATTTATACGACACAAGTCACATTTGCATCTTTCATTTCCGATACGGACACTTAATTAATGCAACTTTTTTCACACTGTTTTAACTATTGAAATAAGTTGCATTAATCCCATAGCAAAGCACATTAATATGCATTAGTCAATATGCAACACATTATATGGAATAATGCCAAACACAATGAAATGATACACAACATCAATTATAAGAAAAAAAAAAATTGCTAAATTATTTATTCTAAATGAGTGAACACCCCAGTCAAGGATGATGTTAAAAGCCAATTTATTAAATTAAACATAGAAGTGTCATTTTCAGAAGACGTTAGGAAGTTTATACTTCAATAAAGAAATAGAAATATAACAAGAAAAACACACATTTTTGTGTAGAAACTGGAAATACATTGACCAAATGAAATTAAAATCATGAATACAAATTTAATCTTCTTTGAGTACTGTTATATAAAATTATTTTTTTTATCAAATTTAATTTAACACATACATATATAAAAAAATACAAATATTAAAAATACCAATTAAATCAATTACTATTAAAAAAAAAATAGTTTGAATTAAAATATAATTAGATCACCTTCTCTGAGATTTTCTGAAGGATGTTATTACTACTCCTGCTTTACTTGAAGTTTGAGGTGTTTCATGCTGAAAACTTGGCCTTTGAGAAATACTTTGCCCGTCTGAATCAATCCCAGCGCAAGATCTTCTTCCAAGGTAATAACCCTGAAAAGGAAACTTTTATAGTACAGTATAAGTGCAATATGAAATTATATTACTGTACCTGCATAGTTACAGAGCTTGCAATAGAAGCTGATCTGCTACTAACGCCACTTGACATTGGTGGTTCTTCATCCCAATCATCAGCATCTCCTTTATCTTTCTTACTATTGTCCCAACTTTTTCGTTTCTGATGGTGATAGGTCGGCTTGGCTAAATTTGTTCTAAAAATCATCAATAACTAACTTATACAACTATGTTACATTATTGTCTATAAATAATTTCATTCTAACTTCATTTTTTTCCATTTAAATAAACATATACCTATTTTTTTTCTATTCTATTCCAATCTGTTCCAAGGTGTTTTTATAAAAGACATGGCCTTTCATTTTTACACTGCCTATTTAACTAAGTATGGTTCCAAAGGAAATTTTTCTTCTTGAATCTAGTGCTATTAAAATTTTAATAAGTTGGCGTGATAAGCCAACCTGGTGAGTAGCTTTTTTTATTTTTGACTTCAATTTTTCTCTCCAAATGTAATGCAGTATTTTTCACACATTTTGAAAGCTCTTTACATTCTACATAAAAAAAGAGGTATTGAAGTTTTCCTTCAGAACACAATTTCAATTTATCATGTTACTAGTTAAAAATAGGAGAAAATTTAATTGAATCAAATATTTCTGTTGATTTTTTTAAACCCAACTTTAAACAACATCAGTTACGTGGAAATTGAAATTATCAAGTTTTGAAGGGAAAGTATTTTTTTTAATTTTTATTATTATTTTAAAGAATGGAAAGGATTTTTAAAAGATTTTTATTCTCGGCCACTTTCAAATGAACAATTATTGCTCTGGCATCTTGGCTTTGACCTGAAATACATTTTCTGGGATGTACTTTCTAGCAAAGACCTCCTTTTCAACAAACCGGCAGGGTAAGCATTATTTAGTAAAAATTTGATACTGTAAATAATATTTGTTTCAAAACTTATTTTTTTAAATGAGCCCTCCTCTTGCTTAAAAAAAGCCCTGATTATCTCACTTTAACTTCAACCCGTGCATTGCATGCAAAAAGGGCATTACATCTGGGGAAAAATATTGATCACCAGGTTAGTTTAACCACTGGTTTATTAAAATTCTAATAGAAATACCTTTTAAACTATTCTTAGTTTTATAATAAAATAGGAAACATAAAAATAAAAAGGTGTATCTTTTTTTATGAAAACTCACACAGTATGTAGTATGCACAACAATAATCACTCACGCACGCACGCACACACACACACACACACACACACACACACACACACACACACACACACACACACACACACACGCACGCACGCGCACGCACGCACAAAGATATCATCAAATGAAGTCTTCAATTCAACTTTGTCATTATGAATGGCTTATTTTTGTAAATGTTAATTATGAAACTAAGAACTAACACTATATAAGTGAAGAAGAACCAACCAAGAGCATGTAATATGCGTCAGGTATTTTAGCATAGTCAGGTATAAAGTATTTTAGCTTTGCACTTTAAGTTTTAAATGTTAAGAAAAATACACAGTTAAAGTTCTGACTGAGACACAATTGACAGTACATATTTATTAGTAGTAAAAAAATTTATTAACCTGGAGCTTTGAAAATGTAGTCTATTTAAAAACCGAAGTAAAAAATAATAAACTATAATATTTCTGTTAATGGCTTTTGCTCTTAACTGAGCTTTCTTTTCCACTTGTATTTTTTAAGTGGAGTGGATCTTCTGCCTGCACAAGTGAGAAATGAATTTTGTTCACATTTATATTTAGATGTCTTTTTACGGCGAGAACCATGCTTTTTCACTATGGCCTGAACTGGTGAATTGACTGATCTTCTTAAATTCGGGTTTTTGATGACACTACAATGTCTTAGAAGATTTTTTGAGCCTTTTTTAGTTACACGAAGTGTCTTTTTATTTTTTTCTGTCAACGGTTCTGATTTAACCACAGTAACATTACTGCACACGAGCTCATATGTACGTTCATTCGACTGTTCAGAATTTTGTTTTAATGGTTCAATATATCTGTACATCTTTGGTTGTTGAAGGCCCTCTATGTCAGTTCCAGCACTTTTCTTCATTATATTGCGTTTTTTCGGTTTCAGATGATCATTGGCAGGTTGGCTGTGTGTTAGCTTGGAGTGGCATTTAGCAGGAAAGTGTTGGTGAATATTCGTATGATTACCCCTGAATGTCAGCTCAGATTGCTGTGATTGTTCTAATTTTGGTTTTCTTGAATCAAATTTTGTACTACTCATCTTTAACAAATCATATGGCACTTCATTGTTCAGGTATCGCACAGGTATGTGAACATTTGAAGGTAAGTTTGAAACTGTCGTATCCTCTCCAAGCTCTAGCCTACGCTTTGCATAAGAGATTAAATTAAATATTTGATTCAACTCATTCATGTTACAACTGCATACACCTTCTTTCATGATTTTGAAGAGGATCTTGTTATCTTCATTATCGCAATATTTCTTAAAAAGTGATTCATTTGAACTTTTTGCAGACATTCTCTTGTTTTCTTTTTTTAGATTTTTAACTTTTTCAGTCAAATTTTCAATGATTTGTTCATTTTTCTTAAGCTTTGTTTTATACATATCTTCAGTCAAGTTAAGATTAATCCAGTTTGCAGAAGAAGATGATGTTGATGATTCTGTTTTCTGTCTGAGCCTGCAATGTAAATCTGAAATTGTATTTCTATAATCAGATATTTGGTTTCTGAATGTTACACTTTCTTCTTTTTGCGCTTCCAGTTCATTAGACAAATCTTTCAATTGCTTTTGAAGATGCAATTTACCTCTTTGTAAGAATGCTATTTGTGTTTTATGTATGCCAAGTGCATCTTTTTGTGCTACAAGTCTTATATCTTTGTCATCATTCGACTCTACAAGTTTTTCTACCAATATTGACGTTCTCTCTACTCTATTCCTGAGATCAATATTTTCTTTTTCCAACTTTTTATTTGTTTTCTGCAAAGCTGTCATTTCACTCGAGAGGCGAATTTTATCTATATCCATAGACCTTATTATCTCTTTCATTTTATTGTCTAATTTCCTTATATCCAGAAGCTTTTGACTGATTTTAAGGTTTAATTCACTGCGATTATTCAGTTCCCAATCCATTTTATTTGTTGCAAGAAATACTGGACACAGACAAATTAATTTTTCACTCGCTTAAGCATCTGAATAATATCGGATTTGCCATCCTTTTGTAATAGTATTGAGTCACATCACAGAATGGAAGGTGAGCTTTAAATGAAAGAAGACTTTCATAAAAGTGATAATGTGAAACACTAACTGTATTAAGAGACTGAGCTCCCATGACTAACATAATTTTACTGTTACATTTTAAAAACTGTACTTTGTCCAGATGACTTTTTTTCTCATATGTAAGACAAATCAATATGCATTTTCCCCTGTACAATCACTTACTTTTCCTTTTCGCTTTCCCGGTCCCTCGTCGGTTCATGGCTAGTGCGAACAGCTGAATGTGGATCATGAGATGGATCAGAGTCATTTCCACCAACTAAAGTTGCCGTACTGACATTGCTAGGGGAAGATGGCTGGCTAACAACTGTATTATCTATTTGGGTGTAAAATTTAGTTGATAATTCTCAATTTCAATATTTTCTTTATAAATAACAAAAATTCAAAAAGTTTACCGGTTAGCGTTTCAGCACTTGATGAACCTGCAATAGCTTCAGGTATTGTTAAGTGTGACGAATCGGGTTGTTCCACTCGTATACTGACTTTTCGCTTTTGGCTAGTTTCTTTTGACGGCTCTACAGAACTGCTATTATTGCTTCCACTTTCTTTAATGTTTGTCATCTCTTCTTCGACTGTAAATTTTCATTAAATTTTTGTTACATGAAAACATTTCAGTTTATATTAAAATAAAAATATAAGTTTCGAAATCCTAAGAACATTAAGATCAATTATTTTAATCAAAGAAAAAGTTTTGAGACTAATAAATATAAGGGAAACTAAAGGAAAAGCTTTTAATGAATTCAAGCATTAAATGTAAACTGCAATTGTAAATTGCAAAAAACAAAATATTTTTATTAAACTTGTTTTAAAAGAAGAAACGCAGTCTTTCAAGAAGAAATATTTTCAACAATGTTATTTTACCGAGTGAAAAAATGTGCAATAAGACTTACACTTTCTAAAACTACACCTCCAGTGTCCTCTTGGGAAACTTTGTGAATCATAACTGTGACTTCTATCTCTATCACTAGCTTCTGATCCATATCCTGAAATTTGATTTTACGTTGAACTGTACATAAATATGAAGGGAGTTCCTTGAACTTGGGATATAGCCTAACCAGAAACTGAGCTCGCTCCACTTGTTCTTCTCGGCGAAGCGCTACTTCTTCTCCTTTCAGAATCATACAAATGGAGAGTCGATAGCGTGTCATCTCGTTCCGGTCTATCCAAAAACAAAAAAGAAAAATGTAATAATTTTGATTAACCGTATTTATGAATAAAGTACAGACTTAAGCTTTACTTTCATTCATTCATTATTAGTTTTAGATTTTCTTAATCCAAATATTTTAAACTTTAAGAAAGATTTTTGTAGAATATTAGTCAAGGAGTTGGCCAGGTAAGAAAAATATTATGTTTCTTTTTTTAAGATTTGACATTGTTTTCATTTTTGTGTTTTCGCTCCCTTGAAGCCATCCTCAATGCAGTACAACAGAAGTGTCAGGAAATACAAAATCAACTTTAAAAAACATGTTTTCTTCTCTTGCTGACTTCTTGACTAATAATGCATACAAATGGAATCCAACACGGCTGACAAAAATAGGAATTAAGAAAGTTGTTGAAAAATTATTTTCATTTACATGATAAAAAAGCATACCCTCATACATGCCTTTAAATGCTACTTTTTTATGAAATAAATAAATAAATTAAATAAAACCTATTAACTTTAGACTTTACTTAAATTAGTAAGTGTGTGAAATTTGCATTAATTACCAAAATTTTAATTGATTGCCTTTTTTATCTTAAATCACAATCACTAGTAAATAAAATATACATTTCTTTAAGAAAATTTCACTTTCATTCCAAATGGTTTGATTGGATTTGTTCTATCATTGATAATTTAAGAGTTCTGATAAATCTACAAATGTGTGCGTATGTTTTGCCATTTTTATTTATGTACGTTTTATATTTTTTGAGTTTATTTTCTATAACTGACAAAATGAGAAATTAAACACACTAAATTAAGTAGTGCTTTGTTCAAACTATATCTGACAGTGCATCAAGCACTTGAATTATTAAAAAAATAAGATAGTCATTATAATAGAGTATAACTCACATATCAGCTGCATCAGGTGGGTCTGCATTGTAAAATACTTTTTTCAACGCTTCAAGAACAGTGACCCCATCAGTAAAAACTCTATAAGTTAGAAGGAATGTATTTAGGAAATCGATGCTTAAAAACCTGAGGTCAGTTAGGCGCTCTAAAAGCCTCCCAGGTGTTGCATATCGGATTTGAGGTACCTTCGAAACCAAAACTTGGACAGATTAACTATTTTTACAATTATTAAACCATTGCCACTTACTTTACAAGAATTAAGTGTACGGCTAAACCTTATATCTACATCATCTTTAAACAATTTGGGATCATTTTTAATGGACTGCGGCATAGTAACCGATGAAGTATCAGATAAGGAACTGTGAAGTAAATCATTGAAGTGGACATTGTCCATACACTAGAAAATATATCGGTTTAAATGGTTTTAAGATAACAAGTTTTATATGCATATTGAAAATAATCATACTTGACTAATATCACTAATCCAAGCTGCCTTTTCTTGAATTGTAGGAGCTATCAAATGTACAGCAACTTGCTGTTGAGAGCTGCTTTTCCCTTCAAGCACGATTTTGAAGTCTCTGTTTTGTAGACTGCCAGTAGTTGTTTCAGATATTCCACTCGAATGACTGGACATCGAGCATGTAGATGATTCTAAAATGGACATTATCTTAAAAGCTACTTATTCAAATGACATTTAAAAGTTAATATAATTTAAAAAAAGTTTTAAATATAAAAAAAGCCAAAAAATAAAATAAAACTATCACATTCTTTTAAGTATATACATACAAAAATGGTAAAGTAAATATCCATTTAAAAAATAAATTAGAAAAAGAAAAAATTAACATCTGCCATGCGGGGAATAATATCATGAAATCTGAGAACTTAAAGATGTTGATATAATGTCAAATCTGATATGATATTTAAAAACCCTTAGCAATTCACCATTACAGCAAAGGGCTACTGACACAATTATCTATGTACATACTTAATCCATATAAGCTCCAAAAAGTCTTGTCGACAGCCCTTCATCACCAACCTACACTCTACCAGCAAATGATTGAAAATCATATATGATGATCTGTGATGAAAAAAGTAAAAGAAAAAAACAAAACATGCGGGGTTACCATCATCCTCATTCACACCATTCTCTGATGGATCTTCAATAAGGACTGCATCCGCAAGGGGAATCTTCCCTACTTCGGGCACTAGGTGCAACCTTCCTGCAGACGTTCTGGAAAAAAATATTCAACATTATATTTAACAAAAAAAAAAAAAAATTTGTGAACTAAACTTAACTGTTAACTTGGTACAATATGGATATTATTCCAGAGGATGATGTTATAGATAAATGGTAGATGGATGAATTTTAAATCATACCTGCCAGTGACTATTATCATAATGTGATTGATGTCAGGCTCAATGTTATAATTGTATATAAAAAAAATAATAAAAATAAGATGCATTTGAATGAAAGAAAAACACTCAAACAACAAGCTCTCACAAGCTTTCGAGGATAGTGCACAATTTTTTTTTGTTCTCTCTACTAAGCTGAACATCATTTTCATCATGGTTCAAATCAGAAAGTAGATTTTATATGTATTAATTTAATGTTTAAAACATACATAAATATGTTCAAAGACCTGATGAAAGGGAAGGATTGTTTATGTAAATAGTTCTATTTGGACCAGGGTGATTTTTGTTCTTTTCCTTTAAATATGTGTTTTTTCTTCCTTTTTACAGGAAGCAATTTTTGTGTAAATATGTTAGCAAGCTGAAAATTTACCATTCTGAGAAGAACAGACTGGAGAGAGACGAGAGCAATATTGCTCGCCAATCCAAGGATTGTTTATGTAAACATCTGTATGTGGCCCAGGGTGATTTTTGTTCTTTTCGTTTTAATTTGTGTTTTTTCTTCCTTTTTACAAGAAGCAATTTTTGTATAAATATCTTAATAAGCTGAAAAGTTACCATTCTGAGACGAACAGACTGGAGAGAGACGAGAGCAATATTGCTCGCCAATCCAAGGATTGTTTATGTAAACATCTGTATGTGGCCCAGGGTGTTTTTGTTCTTTTAGTTTTAATTTGTGTTTTTTCTTCCTTTTTACAGGAAGCAATTTTTGTGTAAATAGGTTAATAAGCCGAAAATTTACCATTCTGAGAAGAACCGACTGGAAAGAGAAGAGAGCAATATTGCTCGTCAGAAAATCTTAAGTTCGCACAAACGTAGATTCTATCTTTTAAAAGTCTTTCATATTTTTTTTAGAAAGCACATACAAACAAAATTTTAGTGGAATGTCAGTTTTCCATTTCAGCTATCCACTGGTACAGATGAACGTACCATCTTTGGCCAGTTATCTCTGCCCTTTATTGTTCAAAATTAATTTGTAATTTGCTATATAATTACATATTCTTTTAACTTCTTATTTTAGTATAATCTAGCCAGAATTGAGTTTTGTTCTTTTCTTTCATTGCATTATTTAATCTTTTAATAATATACCACCTTTTGAATTTTCCCTCCTTTTTGTCATTTTTATCTCAACCAATACCTTACTTAAAGATTAATTAATTGAAAAGAATTTATTTGTTCAATCGGACCACGAAACCTAATTGATTTAATCCCTTTATTCAACAACTGACACTTATTCTCTGGTATCATCCGGGCTTGGACCGTAGAAATATAATACATTCTCCTGCTGGCATAAGCAGAAATTTTGGTCCTCCGGGCCGGATAGTTACAGGATTTAAAATTTAGTAGTATGTTTTTGTGGTTTTATAAGTAACAAATTTAATATTACTGGAAAGCTTGATGAAGGAAATGGGTGTTTTCCTTTCTTATAACAATTTTTATATACAACTTATTATTATCTGCAACTCTTGTAAATTAAAAAAAGTTGATGGATAATTTCAAGATTGCATAGAATTTTTCAGAAATTTGGCTTTTGACATTTTCTAGATCTGATTAAAATGTTTGAAACAGGGTAAATTAACATGGTAAAAACGTATTACGATGTTTCTTTTTTATTTTTTCATAACTGGAAAATTTAGAACGTTGAAAATGGTCTCAATAAAAACATGTTTCTTGGCTAATTGGTTGGAAATTGGGTTGAAACCGACCTGTACAACAAAAGTGATACAATTGACGTTAAAAGTTGATAGAAAAATATTAAATTGAAACTCTTTGACCTGGACTTTGTGCTCGCAATGTCTAAATTGAAAAGGAATTAACAATAATTCTCACGGTGGGTTAAAAATGACACGTTTTCCTTTGATACAAATTGAGTATCAAGGTATTATGACTGTAAGTGCTATTTCCAAGAATAATGGCTTTTTATTTTCTCCAAATAATCACCATTTCCTTTAAGTATTTCATAAATATGTAGATGGTAAACATTACGATTCCTTGGGCACTGAGATCCCTACGAATAGAATGGGCTAAGTTGTATAGTAATTTCCAGGAATACTTGACGTGTGAACACGGAAAGGCGAAAGGGGGTCAAAAATAAATTTCTCGTCGACAATAAAAGTCCCAAAATTTCTTTGAATTCTTTACAAAGTTGGTGCATGGTATCAATCATTGTATTAAATTTATAAAAGACAAGTAATATTTGTGCAAATGAATCTTTTGTTTTATTTTCTAAAAATGGTTTATCTAAAAATGGGTATGCTTGCTTAAAACTTTTGCCAAACATTTATATCATTATGCAAGATAAGACGGTGGAAAATATCGCAATTAATGATGAATAATTACATTTTATCAATAATAACAATGTTAAATAAAAATGAGGGTTTCTGGATAAATAAACCTTTTTCCTCATTTGTTGAGGGGGGGATTTGGTCAAAAACATTCTCTTCAACTTTCATAAGAGGATGTCGTTTGTAAACCTCTTCTATACAATTCGTGACATCTACCCTAAGCATATCCTTAAAAAAGTTTTAATTGACTCCTTCTCGGCCATTTTTTTTCCTTCCTGTGAGTTTTCCATACACCTCTCAATGTCTTCTCTTTTTACAGCTATTCAAAATTCGATGCATTTTTAAGTCATAGAAACCTTATTTTCATAAGTAGATAATATTGTTATTCCTATTTTTTCTTTTGTTTTTCATCTTCTTACACACTCCATTCTACAGGCGGAGACAAGCAAAAACATACTTTCATGAAAAGTCTTTGTTATTTATTTACATGAATCGATTTCGGGGTGCTGCTCACTCTCCCTCTTCACCTGTTTTGACTTAAAAATGCCCAATTTCATGGAACACAGTGTTTTTAAGTCAAAACATCTGAAGAGGGGGAGCGGGCAGCACCCCGAAATCGATTCATATAAATAAATACAAAACACTTTTTATGAAAGTGTGCTTTTCATTGTCTCCATCTGTGGAATAGAAAGGGCAATAAGATAAAAAATAAATTTTTTATAAGTGATAAACATTTAGGATTGACTGATTTTTTTATGGGAGGATAAATGAGCATGGTTCAACTGATAATCATACATTTTTTTAAACAAATGCAATCGTCCTGCCATCAGATAGTTTTATATTTTTATAAATTATATAAGAATGTAAATTTTCTTACAAAAAAGAAATATCTCGTAAAATACTCTTTAAAAGGCACATTTAAAAAAGTAAGCGGAAATATATACCAACGATAACTTAAAAAAAAATCGACTTCTCTAAATAAAATTGATCTAAAAATTTCCACTTCATTGCAACAAGGTATTTTTAACATAAGACCATCAGAATTGTTGAAAATTAGGAAATTTTCTAGGGCTCATCAAACATAATTATTGTCGTTTTATGAGATCATACAGTACGTGATTTTCTTCGACGAGAAAACATACAATGGCATTAAATGTTCGACCATGTTCTTGTTGGTACAATATGATACTATTTCAGTAAATGTTTTAACCTTTTTTCCCTATATTTTTCTGTCACTGGTCAAGCTCATTTAAAGGAACAATTCTTGTTTAACCATAGAAAATTACATTCAGTGTTTGTGACACATACAAATAGCCCAAATAAATCTCCCGAATCTTATTTATTGTTGTTGACTTGGCGTTATAACGCAAAATTGTAATTATAAGGAAGAAGGAATTAAAATTGCAACGATTCGTGGATGCTTTAAGAAAAATATGGCATTACCTTGTCGCCAATATGAGATGATTCGAAAATAAGAAACACTGCCTTAGAGCTTCTTTTTCTGATTTGAAATTCGGCAGCCTATTCCTCGCCCCTTTTGCCTTTTCCGGCGGTATTTGAATCAAGCTACCTGAAACAAAAAAAATAAAATAAATAAATTCCACAACCATTGCATGACCTAAAAATTTTAATTTTTTAATTAAAATTTAATTTTAACAAATAGAAAAAGCGAAATAGAAAACTTATTTATAAAAACGTAAATGATGCTTAACGTACATTACATACAATCGTACGTGTTTGTACAAAATCAAAATATTATGTTGATTTCACTCATACAACTTGTTGAGTCTGTTTAATGTCTATCATCATAATCGACCTAACTTATGTAATAAGTAAATGTAAATATAACAAAAAATAATTAATTTATTTATTCTCGTGAAACAAGGATTATTAACTTTTTTTTAGAGAACAATTGTACGATTATGTCATACCTTTTTGTTAAAATGTGTTAAAAAGAGTGCGCGGTTTTGGTCCCTCGATTTCTGATCTAAACTTCTAACGACACAGATAATTGTAAATCCTAACTAAATATTATGTAATACGAGCTAGAACATTATTATTTCTTATGTTTCACGCCGCACATCTATATGCTATTAAGGATACAATTACTTATTGACGTTCATTTGGTTGAGAACGATGGTTCATCTATCTGGTGGGGCGTAAGAGAAATAGCGGCTTCGATTCGACGCACTAAAAATGAAACTTCTTCGAATAAATTCAAAATAATAATTGAAAAAAAGTATTTAATTTTCGACAGTATTTATATTTCAATATTACGAATTGGTTAAATACAATAATCAGTTGGATTAGTCTATGCAGTGATTAGATCAGGCTTTTGACCGTTATTTCAATTATTTCTCCACCTCCCGGTCTTATTTTCTTGTAATTGCTCATTGAGAGATAATACTTGTTAAAACTGCTTACCGCTGTGACGAAATCATCAAATGGTCATGCTTATGCTGGAATATATCCAGGAAGGCAGACGCACGAGCAGTTTGAAAATCAATAGGAACAAACCCCCTTTGAAAACAGCTGTGCGAATGAGTCCAGACTACAACTTTACTCCACTTCCTGTTGAATATGAACCTTGTTGTCTAAAAACGGAACACTTATCGATTTTCACGCTTACAATTATTTTTTCCCTGTCGAGAAAAATAGAGCATCCGTTTTCGATTGATTCATAACTCTTTTTTTTCTTAGACATTCTTTGTTTGAAGTGGGATGGTTTACGGTGATGTGTGAATAAATGAAACACAATTCATTTCACAATGTGAAACTAAAGTTTCGAAAAGTGTATTTCAAATTCAAGGAACATTCTAACTGCTAACACCAAATTTTGAAAAGACAAAACAAATGAAAGTTGGCAGTGATTGAACATCAATAGAAAATAAAAACAAATTGACAGACAATACAACACGAACAACATATAATTTTCAGGCACATGAAAGTTAATTTTACATAATCATTGGAGCATCTTTTCTTAACTTATATCTCATATTCAGTAAACGTTTTTAATACAAAGTATTGCAAACAATGAAGCAGAAAAATATTACTTAAAAAAACTCATTTTATTCTTAAAAGCAAAAAATAAATTAAAACACAAAGTTGAAGAAGAAGCTTTCCACAACAATAGTTTACATGCATTTACCATTCCAATAAAAAGTGCTGTAAAAAATAAAATTTTGCTCCGATCGACATAAATAAAAAAGTATGTATTACGAAAATGCATCGTTTTTAAAATACGGAGGGAAATATGCTTTTTCCCCTTTTTCCATTACCATTAACATTCAATGTCTCGATATTAAATGTTGATATCAAAAAAATAAAATCATTGTACCACTTTTGAGATAATAGAAAATATTATAAATCACAAATAAATTAAGTTCTTTTTGTCTTCTCGTGCAAAATAAAAATACGCAATTTTTTAAAACTATTCTAAAAAAAATAGATTCGTTCGTTTTGCATTATAAATTTATACTAAATTATTAAATAGATTATAAGTTGGATAGTTGAATTTTGATTATTCAATGCATTCTGACCATAGTCTGTCTCCTTCATAAAAGGTAAAAATTATCTTTTGGTTAAGTCTAATTTAATGATTTAGTATCATGGAATGGGTAAACATTTTCATAATGCATGCAAAATTATTTTCATGTGTATAAAATTAGCTTCCAAATTAACAAAAACATCAATTTCAATCAACTTGAATAAAATAAAGTTAAGTAGTGTCAAACCTACTGTTTATTTCGTTAGTATCCTACTATTTAGAATGTGCACATTTGTAAATTTTTGTGCTTCAAAAGGCATTAATTATTTTATCTAAAGACATTTCTGTGTATGTGAAAGTGTAAATGTGCACACGGTCTTAAATTGGGCAATTCTGATGCCTAGCATCTTTCTAAACTATCTACATAACTTATATCAAGAAAAATAATTAAAAATAAAGAATTCTATAGTCTAGCTCTAGTTTTTCCTAAAAAAAATTCAGCTAATTGTTGAAAATTCCTCTGCTAAAACTTTATTCGAAGATAAAATGATTTCATAATTTAAGATAAGCTAACGGTTTTCTAAAAGTAACCCTTGACTTATTTGATGACTAAAGCTTGCAAATTGCTTCATTTGAACAAAAGGTGCTTGCTTTTTACGTTTTTCATAATAAAAAGTTTCTACAATATTCCGTGTATTCCCCGGTTGATTTTAAAATTAATAATAACTTACTGTTATATTTGAAAAAACAAAAAATTAACTTACAGTACAGCTTATCTTGTAAAAATAAATTTTTTTCATATTTTTAATAACCGCGTAATTTTTTTGTTTTTAAAAATTTAAATGCTACATACAATTTAATATCTAGCATTGTGTTAATGTTAATTTTTTTGCTAATCTTTTTGTTTAAAATATTGGTTTAAATTAGTAGAATTCAAATTAGTTTTGTTTAGTTAAATCGTATTTGTAATAAATTGGATAAATGTTTTCATATGCTCATTCTAGCAACCTAAAGTATATAAACTTATTTTTACCTTTTTTTAAAGTTAGATAAGTATTATATTTTCTTGACAAAATTCTACTGAAAAAATACAAATATTTATGTGACAAAAACTATGTTTTATTCTATTTTTCTTTAGTTTATTAGTCGTAGAAGCAATTTGCAAGCTTGCTTGATGATCGAGTACCGAATTTCTATTAAAAAAATTACAAAGTCGGTTTTCTCACAAAAATATAAAAAACGGTACGTTTATGTATTAAGTTAAATCAGAAACCCCTAATGAAGTGTACAATAGATTTCCTATTTTGACATGCATTTACTTCTCAATATTGCTTTTGGGTTACACAATTTCAATCTGTCATAATCGGTAAGCAGAAATGTCTGAATATAGGAACATATATGATTTAGTAATTAAGTGATCAAACACTTTCTTTAAAATACATTATACTACTTTTTTTTAGTAAAGATTGTCTAAAGAGTTTTGTAATTTTTGCTAATATATACTTCTTTAAATCTAACAGGCTAAAAAATTATATTTATATTGTATGTTTAATCATATAATTGGTAATGATTTTTGTTAATTTCTTTTGAAAGACGGTTGTTTCGCTATATTCATTACAATAGATCACAGCGTCAGAAATATTAAAAAACAACGATTTCTTTTTGTAATGACCTACGACATTGTAACAAATAGGTCACGTCTAAATATTGAGAAAACATACTTTGCCAATAAAAAATACGTGAAGTTTTTAAGTACATTATAAAGGGGCTTTACCCTGTCTCACAAATACTTGGTTGACGTCCAGGAGTATGTCGCACCCTTCTACAATCATTCTCTCAACAGCGAGGTTTTTTCTTAGATTTTCGGTTTCGCTCACCTAAAACAAAAATCATAGTGAAAAAACGAACAGATTGACAATCAACAAATATGCAATCCTTTTTTGACACTTTTCATCAGTCATTTGTCCACATTTTTGTCCATTTGCCAGTAGTACTCACAAGAAGTGTTATAAGAGACGAGATAATGATCGTTTTAGTACAAAAAGAAATCAAACAACAATAGTTTTTAGACAAAATGCTATCTATTAAAAAAAATTATTAAAATTTAATTGAATACAATGATTAAATTTGATATACCTCGTCGTGCATCTGCCTTGATAAATCTTCCAATTGTTGTTTGGCATTTTGGAGACTTTTCCGTTCTACATGATCGTGTGGAGTATGAGCCAGTAGCTCATGAAGAGTTATGATGTATCTAGGAATCTAAGACAAAAATAGCATTAGTTTATTGTAAATTATTCTTTCTTTACATTAAAATTATTTTCGGTTATTATAACTTTTGTTGTTTTTCTGGAGTCATTTATTTAGCCGATTGTTAGTAATACAGAATGTTAAGTACAAATCTGTTGCATTATAAAAATATAAAAAAATATATTTCTTGGCTAAATAAATGCAAATAAACTACAATAGTCAGAATATAATAAATTGTAATATTTATTTATAACATCGACGTAATTTTATTTTCAACCAATTACATTTGGTATAAATCACATATTTGCCACTGTCTTAAGAAAAACTTTTGTATTGTTGTTCCCTCTCATGGGTGTGATAGAGCGTAAGAAAATTATAGCAAAATATGTACAGAAATATACAGACAAATTATTAAAGATTATTATATATTTATTGAGATAAATGGACGAAAAACAGATATTTTACGGCGCTCAAGTAGATTAATTTTGCAAGAACGACAGGTCGTGATGGTTTAGCATCATGGCTCCCCTATTTGTTTAAGGGGCAGAGACATAGCGGAAACAAAACTCAATTTTTTATTTTTTATTTTAAATTACAACCTTTTTAACACCGAATGAAACCAATCCCACGAGATTCTAAGCTTTATATGTACTTTAAATATATTTCTCAATGCGGAAAATCAAGTGTTTTGGTATATTTTGTCATGATGAATTAGCAACTCGCCATTACTTACTGTTAGTTACTCTTTTACGTAATTTCTCAAGTTTTTATTTATTTTTTTTTTTAACCTGTAGGTACAATTTTCTATAAAATTCTTTAGCAAATAAAACGAGGTTCGCATTTTGCAGAACAATGATAGGCAAACAATCGTAGATAGTAACTGGTTTTTGAAAAATTCAGAAGGGGAGAGATTCATTTTTTTAAATAAAAAGTGTACAATTTTATCACAACTTTATATTGTTCCCAAAAATTAATGATTCACTACCTTTAAAAAACCCATCTATGAGAACTCGAAATACATTAAGAAGAAACAAAATTGGTTTTAATAGACAAAATAGAATTTGAAATAACTGTTCTTTTCCTTGATTTAGATCGAGCCTGGGTTAGTTGTTTTATCGTCTTGAATTAATGATAATATGATTTTTGTAGTTAGTAAGAGAGAGAGAGAGAGAGAGAGAGAGAGAGAGAGAGAGAGAGAGAGAGAGAGAGAGAGAGAGANATATATTTAGAGCGATAAAATAACCCTAGCATAAAACCTCTGTGCCTTCCAAATTTTTAGTTTAATGCATAATATGAAAGTTTCTAGTTAGTGTGAATATATTTATTAGAGTGAATGTTTGCGGGTCCTAGGCGAAATACGTAGTATTCTGAGTCTAGCCAAAATTAGATTAGGGCACAATATATGATTTGCAGTGCCATTTCGTTGCGTGTGGAAGGGTCATTAAGAATAATAAAATAGTCCCAGAAGTTTTATCATAAAGGTAAGATAGACAGAGCCAAATTTTGCCGATTGGAGAGTTAAATTAGTCGACAACAAAACGCGAGGTGCAGACAATGTCCATGCGGCTAGCGCCCAGGGATACCAATAATACCAATCCTTCGATCGAATATTGGACTTGCTTTGGGGACTATAGAACATCCTCCTCTCTCATATCATACTGAAATCATACTTGACAGACCGATTCTTCCGAGTCTGTCAGGGAGCTGAATTTTCACGCAAAAAGGCAGGTATTATTGAAACATTCTTCGCCCTTTTCGCTTTTCAACATCCACTGCTGATATTCTTACAAATGTTGACATTTCAACACATACCTATCTGATAATATAGCGACTTTTAAACGCAATTTAGATCAATTCATCAACTTATAAAACACTGAATTTATTGGTAGCATGGTGACAATAATAAAATGAAAAATAAAAATAAACCAAACAAAAAGCTTTTATGAATTGTAAAATTTATTTTTCTTCAAGTGAACATAAACGGAATCACATTACCTACCGCTGTCCTTGTTATCTTGAATTTTCATGGACAATCGACCGACATGGAATCCACAAACAAGAAAATTCAAGAAAAACCCCACACATAGCGGACCGGATCGCGATATTTGAGAAAATAGACAAAATCGAACCCATATTAAAAAATTACAATTTTGAGCAAAGTTTTATCTTTAGGTAACAATATTAGGGCTTCAATCAATTTTTAAAATATTTTTATTTTAAACCTGGAATTTAACATAATTTTTTTACCATCTCAAAATACAGTGCTTATTTTGTAAATATTAATTTTTTCGATTTGTTATTAATTTTTTTCCAGAATAAACGTTACTTGTTGCAGTTTATAAATTGATTAGTCAAAGTACCCCCAAGTTCCATCGAGTTATTTCATCCCATTTTGTAGGTAATAGGTTCGACTAACCATGGTCAACCAATCTCAATCAGATCTGTCCTGTATCAAAAGTTGTAATAAAAATAATATTCCAATTTTTGTGTAGAACGCTAATTATCAGCAATCTTACAAACAAAAACTACTCGATTTATAATCTAATTAGGTCTTCGATATATGTTGTATAATAAACGGTGTGAACACGTTTCTATACTTTTTATTTAAATGGATTTAAATTTCGAGAAAACTGATCATAAACATAGAAATTTTCCCCATATACTTATGGGTCCCCTCTTATAGACTCTTATGGGTCCCCTTATGGATTGCTGTTTAAGTCAATACTAAAAAGTACCACTGACTTAACCAAGCTTTTTAATACGGACATGCCTGTAATAATAAAAAATGTTTAAAAAATCTCAACAAGATCTGTCTTCTATCTAACACGTTTTGAGAAAAACTTCCAATCGCTAATTAATTGAATCTGCAACATTCTTTAACTAACGAATTATGAACATTAATAATTAATAATTCTGTTTGTAAATGATCTATTCAAAACCCGTTTTAAAAAATTTCATCATTTACTTAGTATTAACAATAATTGGTCATACTACAACCATTATCAATTTCAACCTTACCAGAAAATCTTCGAAGACAGTAAACGAAAAATTGGCTTAGACCTTCGAAGAGTATTCACTGTGAAGGAGTGTTGTCACTGGAGAATTTCTCGTGCAAGTGACTCAAACGACTCAATCAGTATTAGAAAACATTTACATAATGCAATCTTCATTGTAGATAACAAATAAAAGTAATATTAATAAAGGAGATAATGGTACTGACAAAGGGACACAATTTCACAATCGAACCACTAAATGACCGTGAAAGATGGCCGAAACATGATATAATGTTAGAATTTGATGCTTAATTTTTAAATTTTTAAACAATAATTGTTATTAATTATGTGTTAGAGTTAGTATAAGTGAAATCTCTTCACCTGATGCATTGGATATGTAAGGAATATTTCCAATGAGCGTCCTTGGCAGGTAGGCTTGTTCTCTAATCTCGCTAACAGGCTGGCAAATTGCGGAGTTTGTTTACACTCGGTTAGAACTTGGAGGCTGTAGTGATGATTTCTTACATATTCTTGATAAATACTCAGCATGGGTAGAAGCATATCGAACAGATCTCCTGAGGGCACAAAAATCACAATTAACTTTTGTTTATGATTTTATGAATGATTATTACGATTGGTATGATAAAATATGGTCTGCAAGTTCATCCAGAAATAGATAACTTTTCTTGTTTAATAAAGAAAAGTTTAAGAAGTCGTCTAAGGCTTTATAAATTTCTATAACAATATGTTTGTTACATTCATTACAAAAAGTGACAACTCAATCTATGTTTATCTTTTTCAAAATATTTTGTTACTTTTCCATGTACGTACCAAGCACCAGAGTTGGCCAACTTTCCATGCGAGAAGTCAGTCCTTTGAGAAAGATCTGATGCAAAAAGAGAACGGTTTCGCTGTTTAAAAAGATAGAATTTACATCCTCGTGGGAACAGGGAGGTTTTTTCGAGCTTGCTGCCATTTTGAAAGGTCTCAGAAAACAGGAAACTAAAACTTCCAACTGCTCCATGTACTCCTCTTCGGCCTCGACCATGCGAAACACCAAGCTGTTTTAAGAAATGCACATTAATTTTACAATTTAAGTAAATTCCATTCGTTTTCTACACGTGAACGAGTCGTCGTGAACAGTAGAGTAAAAAACCAACTTATTATTGTACATTTTCTCCAAACAAAATATCAAACTAAGCAAAGAAATAAGGGCGAAATACCTGTTGCGTTTCCGCATACTTTCTGCGTGAGGGCTTTTGATGTACTGTTCGACGATCTGTTTCCACCTCCTCCTGCACAGCCAGCCTCGGAAAAAGCTCTGCACTTTTTTTATTTTCCTCAATTCCATAGAATCTTCAGGATATTGGATGTTGTTGGCATCAGCCGTCCCTGATCCGCCGACGATTGACGGAGCTTTGCACAGACCGCCGAGTGGCCTCATCGGCCTCCATTCTTTCTTCAAGGCGCACAGCTAAAAAGAATGTAAAATTTTTGAGTTAAAAACAAGCTCATGATTTAATTTAAAAGACCTAGTCTTTTAAAATATAGCATCTTGCCCTTTAACTTTGAAAAAAAAAATACACACACATATTAATTATATTTTCATGCCTTATAAGATATATTTAGTCTTAATTAACCTAGTTACAACCAGACAGCAAATTAAATTCGCTCATTTGACGAAGCTTATATTACATACATTTTGGTGTTCTTGTTTCTCCAAGAAATTAAAACTTTTACCTGGGACAATCAGAACTTTGAAATGAGGTGTAACAAGAGAAATATTATTACTGATACTTTACAACAACAGAGGAAATTAAATCGTGGTAGTTCTTTGCGGCTTTCATCGCTCCATTCAAATTCCTTTTACAGAAATTTGATAAGAAATTATCTTAATTCCTACCCGGAGGGTCGAGAAAACTGGATTAGCAATTCGCTAACGTCTCTTACTTTACCAACTCGAAAACTCTAGGACTTGTTTAAGTGAATCGGTTAAGCCGTAATGCGAGTTAATTGCGTAATATACCAAAGCAATCGGGAAAGATTTCGTTTAGTTAAATTTGTAAATAAGTTAATCAATAAATACATCGTCTCAAAAAATGTGACTGTCAATAAAAAAATTTTAAAGTCTCATTTAAAAAACTCATAAATTAAAGTAATAAGTACATGGGAATAGAATGTCCTGCGCGTGAAGGGTTTTTAAAACAAGAAACGCGACCTTCGAAGACGTTTCACCTTTTTCAAAAGAAAAATTGCCCACTTGTCAAAGGAACTTTTTTAATATCCTACAGAATTATTAGAAAACTTCTTTTCTCTTTCTATTTTTTATCGTAGTTCCGAATTCTGTTTTTAATCAATAAAGTGCTTATTTTATTGACTCGATTAAATCTTAACTTGAAGTTGAAATGCTTTTATCAGTAAAAAAAAGTAAACTATTAATATTTATTTTTGTTTTATATTACATATTTTAAAAAAGTTCTTTCAAATTCGAAAGCATTTGATCATTTTCTTTTATTGCATTTTAAACTTTAATTTATCGATGTTTTAATACAACTAAACTGTTTCTGCAAAGAAAACCTGCCAATTGGACACAAATAATTTGGATGACAAAACGCATGTCTTTTAAAATTTTATCAACGTACATATTTTAAATTAATTAACACGTTGATTAAATTATATTAGGCGGGAAGTGATGGATGATCGGGAATGATCGAACAGCTAACAATTGGTTAATAATTTAACAGGTCAACCAGCATGACTTGGTACTCTAATACAGGTAGTTAAAATTTTACCGTTAAATTTATATTATTTTCTAGTACAAAAGAATATATTAGTGATGGTTTTGTTCTAATTTATGAAAACTTAATAAATTAATTCCTTTTTACGTATTTTGAAAAGAATCTATATAAATGTAATGGAACGCAAAACTCTCAGAATATAATTTGATAGGAATATATCATCTTGCAAGAATTCCAAACGAATCTCAATCCATGTTTTGTGACATTGAAGTTTTTTATGCCTTAATTTTGATCGAGAAAAAATTAGTACTAATTTTAATATTTTCACTGACGGATCGTCAACAAATGTAGGATGTGCCTTCTTCCTGTTTTATGAAAACCAAGAATTTTTCCAAACTATGAAGTATAAATTGGCAGATTGGTGGTTCAATAACTAAGTTGAAATGGTGGTCATTATGAAATCACTGGCATCATCATGATTTTACAAGGAAAAAGGAAAACAGACAATCAGATAGGAAAATTTCAATTGTGATCCTGCAGAAGCACGAAAAACTAAAGACTGATTTTAAAATAAATGAAATCCCTGGCAGTTTTGATATAAAAAGTTTGCAGGTTGTGAACTCACACGTTGAAACAAACGCTTGTGCCAAAGAAGATAGAAGAGAGATGGAAGCCGAATAGTTTGGATTAAACGGAAAATAGCAAAGCAGGAGCAGCAACGAAACATTTTTTTCTAAACGAACTTCCGCTTACGATGAAATATATTGCAATTTTTCTTCAAAACTCGACAATTTCAATATATCCTTTAACTGGCTGTTGTTATTTCAAGTTAGATTTTAATTAAATCAACACAAATTGAATTTTCACATTTTATTCAATTATATTTTCAAAATTCTGCTTTGTTTATCCTGGTTCATTATAAATAAAATTAACGAGTTCTGATGGAAAACTTCAATATTTCCAAAACAGAGAGATGAATTTTTGAATTTTTTATATTATTTTTTAAAATGGAAAGGATTTTCAGGAAAAAATAAGAAATTACGTTAAAAAAAATCTTTGGTGATTAGGTTGGCTTAACTTATTAACATTCTATACCACCATACCATATGCCATCAGCAGATTCTATATGAAAAATACCTTGGAAACGATAGATAATTTTATTATAACACAGGCAGAGTAAAAAGAAAAACGCCATGTTTTTTATAAAACATGGTATAATTGAGTTCCAAAATTTGGTCAAAGCAATAATGAAATATTTTATTTACATAACGGGCATTAAATTTAATAGTTATAACATAAAACTAATAATAATAATATTTAATCATATTTGTTTATTTAAGTGATGCATGGAGAACTATCAATAGATTAGACAATAATAAAATTACATAATAATAATTCTGTATATAAGGAGCTATCAATAGAATAGTCAATAATGAAATTAGATAATAGTTATTGTAATTATTAATATGTTCGTTAAATGCAGAATAAAATCCTTTTTTCCAGAGTGTACTGGGGAAAGGAAATAAAACACAAATGTAATCTATTATATTAAGCTAGAGAGTAAGTAGTTTTTGTGTACACGAATCACAGAATTTAGATTATGCTTATTATAGTTTATTTTTATTCTTTAATTAAAAAAATAATAATGTAACGTTAGTTTATTATTTAGTAAATAAGGATAACATATATTTTCTTTCAATTAATTAATCTTTATGAAAGGTATTAGTTGAAATGAAAAGGCATAAAAAATGGTAAAAATGAGGGAAAATTCGAAAGGTAGTTGCGATGGGAAGTTGGTGTCTGAGTGGATCAAAGTGACGATAGCTCAAGTGGTAGAGGAGCAGCGTATTTAGCTGAAGGTCGTGGGTTCGAATCCCGCTCGTGACACTAACTTTTTAATTTCAACCAATACCTTACATAGAGATTAATTAATTGAAAGAAGTAATTTAGTCAATCGGACCACGAAAATAATGGATTTAATAATATAAAATGTAATCAATATAAAATTTAACGCATTGAAAAAGTATATTTATTCTTTGTGGGCTTCCAATCAGCATTTGATAGCATAAATAGGAAACCTTTATTTTATAAATTATCTTTGCATGGCATTTCAAATTATTACGGAGACTCGGATGCAAAAATTTGAAACAAAAATGGGTTGTCAGCTGCTTGATTCCCTGCAAAATGGAGGGGAAACAACGATGCTTGCTCAGTCCTACACACTTTTCCATCTTCATGAATGCCCTAGAAAATGATCTAGCATTCTTATTAATAAATGTAAGATTAAAAGCTTGATGTTTGCCAACTACATAGTGCTTCTTCTCCGGCTTCCTTGCAATTGACGAATAGAGATTTGGAAGTGAATTGAATCTTAATGTGAACCTGCAATTATCGCAAATTATGGTGTGCAAGAAGAGAGGAGGAAGAGTGAAGAAAAACGAAAAATGGTATTTTAATGGTCAGAGAGTGCTGACTGAGGAAACTAGAAATATTTAGGTATAAACATCAGTCCTTCATTTAACTTTACATCAAACTTTAAAGAAAAAATTGTCAAATCTAACTTTGCAGTTAAGAAAATTTCGGAATAAAGTAATAGCTAATAAAAATATCTCTATACATAGAAAAATTCAAGAATTTTATAGTGCCATACGATGGGTGATATATTATAGAGACCAAGTCTGTGGATATTTGAATTTGCCGGTTGCCGGAAGTAGAAAAGGTTCAAAAATATTTTATGAAAAGGCTATTCTACCTCCCACCAAACACACCTTGACTATATATGATTATATATTATACTTAGAAACCTCAAACTCACCCCTTTAGTCACAAAATAAAATTGCATTTAAATTAAATCCGTAAAGTATTAAGAAAGCCCTCAAACAGACTAACCAATTTCCTGCCAAATGTAATGAGAGATAAAGAAATATCTTGGTATAAACATGTGGTGCAAATAGGCAAACTGGTGCAAGTAGAAATGAATAAAGACGTTTTTAAAACGTTTAATTCGGAGAATTTAATAAATAAAATTGAAATTAAAATTAAAAATGAAATGCTATCTAAAACCAAGATTTGTTAATTCTACACCTTACACGTAAAATTACATCCGGGTCAAGCCTAAATACTATATTCATCATAACTCACTTATACTACATTTCTCTAATATTCAGAGCAAGAGGGGAACTTCTTGGGCTTTACTACCTAACTGGATATGGCATTTAATTGCGCCATATGCAGTTTAAACGAGCCTGAGAATACTTACGACTTTCTGAGGGAATTTAGAAAAGGGTACTTGGGAAAAGGGCAACTAAACGCGCAGGAAATAATAAATATATTGAACGGTTCAAATTGGGTGGCACTTGCAAGATATTTATATAAAATGATAAAATATAGAAAGTTCCTAATTGGGCATTTGATTTCTAATTCGAGTTAATGTTATAATTAACATTAAAAAATAAAAATGACTAAAAATAAATGTAATATATATCATATTTAAGAGAAAAAATAAAATAAACATGAAAATAAAATAAATTAAACGATGATTATTAAACTTAAAAAAATCTTTTTATACACAGAAATAATAAATTAGGCAACTGGACAGATGGCTTACAGCCATCGTCTTTATATGCTTTTATTAATAATATTATGAAACATTTATACATAAGATATTTTGTAATTTATATTTTATTTATGTAAATAAAAGAATCCATTAATTCAAATAAGCATAACAGTTATTTACCAAAACATGATCTTGTTCTTTTTTGCATTGAATTATTTTTATGACTAATATTTATTGCTAATAATTCTGACTCAATGTCAGTGTTATTTCTTACTTATTACTGTCAAGAGGTAGCAAAATAAAGTCAATTTTCTCTGTCGTGCTGTTTTATTTTACGGAAAGGGTTTCCGTCTTCCGCTTTATATGAATTAACGATGCCAGAGTAGATTTGCGAGATTTGGAGTGGTAGATATGTTTCTAGAACGAGAAAAAACGACGCCCATCTTTCATGCTTTACACGTAAAAATCCAAGATGTTTATCCGTTTTTTTTACCAGAATTACATTTAACGTTTTGAAGAATATTAATAAAGGAAATTTTCTTATTTGAAAGAATTTTTTAATAACTGGAATAAAAAGCTAGGATCAACATATGTTGTTTTTCCTTTCGTTTTTATAGAAGGACAACATTTGAATATTTGATTAATACATTTGCGTCAACATACGGGTCACCGAGTGATTGTATAAATAATGCCTCACCACATCTGTGTTATTTTGCTCGGAGGAGAGATTTTCCATCACTGTATAAATTGTTTGAGCCAGTTTCTAATTTGGAACCAATCGATCAAATTAGCACGGGCAAAATTTGAGATATAATAACCTCGAAATACTTAAGGTTTAAGCCCACACATTTTCTCAGGGAGCTAAATAAAATCGAGATTCTTGCCTTTTCCTCCTACAACGGTCGGTCCATTAGAAAATTCGTCTCCTGTGAAACTTCCTTTTATTTTACTTTATTATTGTGACTTGTTTTTTCAGTGTTAATTATGTTTCCTTTCAATCATTTGTTCATAATAATATATAACTACGTTTTTAGTTGTTCAACGAACAAAAAATTAACAGTAATGTAATATAAATATAGTATATATGTATAATAATATATATAAAATAAAATATATATATTTAGTTGACTCTCTTACCCAGAGTAATTATTTTAATAGATTTGTTATTTTTTTATGAAAAATGTGGCTACTGGTCGTACTAGTCCCGCTCGTGGAACTAATTTAACAGGTAGCCACATTTTACATAAAACATAAGAAATCAGTATTATAAAACGTAAACATACTTGAACGTTGGAGACATAATTTTCTAAACATTTTATGGTTAAAGAAATCATACGTAAATGGTTTTGGTCTTAGAGCAAAGACATAAACCTAGAGAGAGATTATGTTTTGTACTTGCGGTAAAGTTGGTTGAATAAACAATTCTTAATACTTTTAAATTATGGTTTTTGTTATACAAAACATAAACTTACAAAACTAATTTATGTACGATTATAACATTGTTAAATAATGCGTGTATCGCAAAGACGCTGTTTATCAGTGAAACCTGTTTTTCAACTTTATACGAGTTCTCTTTTTGTTCTTGTTGCGAGATACTTTTCAATTTATTCCTGAAAAAAAGGAGAGAAGGGCTCGCAAGCGTAAAAAGGTGGATGATGAAAAACGGCAATTTTCACCTCGGCCCGAAGTTTCTTAATTTCCGAGGCGAGTTCTTCACACTGCAGCGTATACTGCCACTTGGCTGTCTTCTCGCTTTCTACGATTTGAAGTAGGTGGAGATGTTTCTGCTCTAACTCTTCCTTCTGAAGCAACAATTTATTGAAACTGAAATCAAAATGATTGGATGTTATTTAGGTTATTTGACCCTCTTTATGTAACTTAAAAAATGTAACAATTTGTAAGTATGAAAATAACAGTATAAAATGTGAATACATACTTGCAGATTTATAAAAGATAAAACACATACTACGCCTTCAAAGTTTGAAAAGTCAAACAATAAATAGACGTACCCATAACGGAGAAAGAACACATGAATTTTCTCTCGTTTTTCAAATAGCTATTTATCAAATATTGCGTGTAACAAAATAAATATATTGAGCAAAGAAAGAAAGAAAGAATTTTGCTCATGGGAACGATTGAAGCCCTACAATACAATATATGGAAAGGGAGACAACTTGAAATGAGTAACCAAGAACAAAACCTACGTTGGCATCACAATTTCAAGAAGGAAGCTGGAAGGATAAAAAAATCCTGTTTCAAAGGACAGTTTTTTATATTGGTAATGAAGGGTAAATTATACATGAAAATATATAATATTTCCTATTATGTATTTTTAAAATTATTTAAATCTAATCTTTAAAAACAATTTTTTCGATTTGTTTTTAAAGTAATGAGCTTTTTTTCGTAATACAACAAAGAACTATTGATACTTTTAGGTCGACGCTGCGTATGTGACCGGATTGTAGAGAATTGTCCGATTTGTTCCACATAATTGAAAGGAAGTCATTTCTTGGTTCATTATAGAGAGCGCGTAGGCATGCCACCAGATATGAGAATTATGCTTGAGTACGGCGTCGAATATTTTGGTCCTCTGTCTCGATTTTTGGAAGAAACAAAGCTGTGTTATTGTATATTGGACATGATAGACAATGCGTTTTAAGTATATGGAGAATGAGTGTATTTATCAACGTGAATGCGTGGTACGAGAGTTATGTATTGTAGGTTAGGATTATTCAATGTTTTGAAGCGGAGGGAAATATGCGAGTGGGAAACGCGAATAAAATCTATGAAGATTATCAGTTCGCTCTCTTTCTCTCTTTAGTACTATTATTTTTGTAATCCACCCATAAATTAAACGGATTCCTTTAAATCACTTAGCATTACATGTTTTTCCTATAGATCAGTTATGTTGTAAAATATATTTGGTGATAGATTGGTTAGGGATGGTTAGGGTTAGGGTTAACAAATGATGATCATAATACCATGCAGATAATACATAAGACATATACTTTTCAATGCTTTATCGTTATTATTTTGTATAGTTTGATAGAGTGGCATTTGAGAATTTTTGGATAGCTAAATACGTATATTTTTTTTTTCAAAACATAAGATTGAAATTGTATTGTTTATTCGGTATTAGACGTTAAAAAATGAGAACACATCGAATATAGTAAATATGTAATTTTCAATCTGCAAGACGAAATTCCTAATCAAGTACCACCAGAGCTCGAAATAAATCTGCAGTTGAGATGGATTTATGGTTTTCACCGAAATAGGCACTGGCAGATTGCCGGATGAAAGTTGGAAATGTTTCTTAACTTAAGATGTAGAAAAAAGCGTACAAAACTGAAGTCGGAAAAAGAAAGCGGGCATAACAATCGCAGAAATTGCGAAGCAATGTAATAAAGCCAATTGTTATTTAATTATTATTAAAGTGCTAAAGTCAACAATCAAATGTTCGATATGTGAATTATTGTTATTCTTCAAAATATACCAACATAGAAGATTATTTTATGTATAAAATAAAGCGAAAAGAATTTATTTTTATTTAAGTTTCATTTCCTTCAAAGTTTTTCTAAACGATATTTTTGCTTTTCTCTTAAAAATGAATAATTGTTTAAATGTGATTGTTTAAAAATATCTAATTTTAAATAGTTTATGCAAAGATACTCAAATCTACAGTGCAAGGGTATCCTTGCAACCCAAGGGAGGTAAAAAGTAAAGTACTAAAAAAATTTATCTACAACTTGATGTATTATGCAGGATAAGCAGAAAGTAAAATCGACAGCCATTTTTCTGCAAAAGAAACGACGACGTGGAACAAATTAAAATTGCAAATTTCTTCCTCCGTATTTTTCGTTAATGGGGTATTTCAATTCAGAAACTTAGTTTTCCAATAAGAACCGTAACTTTTCATTTATTAAAGTCTAAATCTACCATATGTAAATTTAATTGCCATATTTTCAAGCAGAATTACAAGCCCTTTATTACTGCAATCGATTACTATACTAACGAATTGGCGTTATAATTGACGGTATTTCAAAGTACCTCTTAAGCGGCCCATATAGGTGCAAATTATTGCGCAATAATCGAGTTTGCGCAATAAAGTCTTGATAGGTTGTGCAATTTATTGTGTTAAACGAAAATTTTTTGTTGTTTATTGCAATATCGCGTTGCTGACTAGAAAGAATATCTTCTTGCGTATTGGTATCTCTTCTTCCAATTTGAGAAGCAACCATAGCGAGGAGTTCATCAAATAATTAAGCATCCGTACGTAAGAAGTTTCGAAAATCAACTCACATATTCTCAGTTCATTTACTAAAGTTTTATGAATGTCCTTTCTCTCTCTCTCTCTCTCTCTCTCTCTCTCTCTCTCTCTCTCTCTCTCTCTCTCTCTCTCTCTCTCTCTCTCTCTCTCTCTCTCTCTCTCCTTTGTCGATTCACAAATACTCCTCAAGAGTCAACCTTCTACAAATACCCAACTCCGTACATCTGTATACAAAAAATCATTTCTGGTACAAGCCTCCCGTCATCTCAATCTTTTCTCAAAAGTCTTCAATTTTGAGCATTCTGTAGCAACTAACAGGCTAAAAATGCACTCTATCCTAATAAAAAAAAATATGGCGATAAAACAAATAATTAGTTGCATAAACTAAACAATCTATTTATCAATGATCTAATATGTTTCTTTATAAATCTTAATATTTACCTTATTATTTATTATAAGATGTGCTTTTTTTAATTGCCTCTACTACTCTCGATACTAGATAGAATTTAATTGTTTTTTTGCGAGTATTACTTTAAAGCTTTGATGATGAATTTGAGTTTATTTACTGAAACAAATCAGTAGTTATTTACATATGTATTCAGGTATATCTTACATCTATTATTTATACATCTATTAAGTTGCTTGTTAAAATGAAGTTTTTGTATTTTTTTTCTCACATTATAGTAATACATTTCACTCATTATTATATTTGCTGTACTCCACTGAATTATAATTTTTTGTATTATTAATTTTTCAATTGAACTACCAAGAAATAATATGTGTTTAATTAATTAGCGGTGGTAGCATGAAGAAAGGACATACATATCCTATGCTGTAACAGTTATATATCAAGTATATATATATATATATATATATATATATATATGTATAANTCTCCCGTTTTATCTCTCTCTCTCTCTCTCTCTCTCTCTCTCTCTCTCTCTCTCTCTCTCTCTCTCTCTCTCTCTCTCTCTCTCTCTCTCTCTCTGTCGGTCGTCGGTCTGTCGCTTCACATTAAAGCTATTTGCATGGCAATAAATTCGTACAAAGTCAAATCACACGATAATTTTTCATTTTTACTCGCCAAATTGACTGATTTTATAATTTAACTATGGAATATAAAGTTAGTACAAAAAAAGGCTCAAAAAACAAGCATAGTGCGTATTATATGATTTTGATCTATACTATTTTGCATCAATTCGCAACGCTACATTTTGTCACAATTCAACCCACACGGCTAATTAAATAAATGAAAAGGTTCGCTAGTGGGAGGGAAAGGGGCGAGAACGAACATTCCATGAGGATGATATTGATTGAAAAAATGTACAACTACAATTTATTGAAATATTGAATGATTGGCTTATAAAGTAACTTTGAGCACGTGTACAGAATTGAACTAATGGCTTCTCGTGGCTTGCCCCACTTTTGTGTTTTTGCAGCCCGGGATCAGACTTCGGCCATAACCGTTCCGCAGCGGAAGTGCTCCAGGGGTAGGTCATTTCAGCTCCCATGCCGTTTTTAAACTTAGACACCCTCTAACAAATTCTTTAATACGTTTTTACTATTTACATACCATTCACTCGGGTTTCATGCTGGGTTATTCAATATTCCACAATTATTACATAACACATTCATGTTAATGAATGTGTTCAATCAAATGAACACAAAACCTAATGCAAAACAATATGTCTATTAATACACACAATGAAACAGCACAATGTGCTCCATAAATAGGGATAGGTGAACCAAATATGGAGCCAAGGAGTAAGCAACTTCAATTAAGTGGTGCATATCGAAAAGTTTTTCTTCGCATACCGGACACACACGCTTTGGGTCTTTGTGTCAATCTACTATTTTTAACCGGGTAAGAATGGTCTTCTCTTATTCAGATCCACCAAAGGCCGCCTATCGACCTTGCTCTTATAGCCTCCATCAGTGCCATTTACTTTAATCAATTGTTTTATAGCATTTTTAGCGTCACAGGGCCGGGTCGCAGTGGTCTTAGGGTATGAAGTCCCGGCCTTTAAAATGTTAAAATGAATGCGTTTTTCGTTTTCTTTTTTGCGGTGCATACCTTGCTTCCTTGATGGCTTCTATCCAAGCTTTGCAATCGCTCTCAGTGCTGGCCCTTAGCTCGTACTGGCGTTGACTTTCTATTCTGTACGATATTGCAAAACAATACTGTAACAAATACGAAAATTAGTTATTTTTAAGCAGACATAGACAACAACACTCAGTACATAATAATAACTCATCTCAATATGTGTGCAGAAGTAAAACATTTTAAAAAAGTAGGCGAGGAAAAAATAAGAGAGAGAGAGAGAAGAGAGAGAGAGAGAGAGAGAGAAAGAGAAAAAGAAAGATAGAGAGTAAAAGAGCGGGAGACAGATCTATACCATTTGACGATGTCTTATAAAATAAATAGAAAAAAGAGAACAAAGAGTGAAAGAGAAAGATACTGAAAGAAAAAGAAAGAGAGAGATATAAACAGAAAGCGACAGATAGAGAGAGAGAGAGAGCGAGAGAAAAAAGAAAATAGGTAGATAAATTGGCAATAAAAAATCTAAAGTTTGGAAAAAGTCGGAAAAATGTTATAAAATGAAACGCAATATTGAAGAATATAACTAATATTCATATTTTCAAACCTGGTTGTTTTATACAACACCGAACTTTAAAATGTTTAATTGGAACTGAAGTAATAAGATACTTTGGCTTGAAATATCCATAAGAAAAAAAGGTAAAAAAGAGTTCATGGAGTCAGAATGGGTAAAGTGACCTTTAGACCTAGGAGTCTAGCAAAAGGACCCGCCAACTCCTCCAATCAGATAAGCCTCGAACAGATAAAGACAAAGAAACTTTAAGGAAGAACTGACTACACAGCAGTCCGCAACTTGCCAGTTTGTTTCTTGGAAACAAGTCGCAGGCATTATCAAAATAATCAAGACTTGATCTTAGACACAAAAGGTGAATCTCAAATCGAAATATGGTTAACATAATTAAAAACAATTAAATTTAACTAGTATTTTGAAATTCGTGATTCAAAAATTGGACTTCTGTGTGAACATTGTTTTGTGGGATTTATCATCAAAAGTTCCCCAAAAATCTCTCTATTCATAGTACTCTCGAAGAGGTTAAAACCAATCATTTGATCATTTTAAATTCTAAGCCATACATTTACCAATCATTAATGATGGACAGTAATCAACATAATTTCACCAGGTAATAAAACCTTTCTGAAGAAACTCCGTAATAATTCTTGCATCTTGTTTCAATCTGCAAAATTCTTACCATTTGAATTTTCTTTACTAACCAATACTTGATGTACAAATAAATAGTAGAAGTGAAGACGAAATCGCTTAGGAGCCTTTAGATAATTGATAGCCGTGTATCAGTTTTTTTGGATATTTTTCTAAAGTTGATATCAAAAATTATTTTTCACTTCGTGTAGCACAGATCACAATCTTTCTATTTTCTTTGCTTCCCAGTATCATTCGCTAGCTTTAGCAAACCGGCCAAATCTTGTGGCAACGGTGATAATTTAAAAGTGTGCAGCACGATAATTTCGGTTGAACTCTCCAGCAATTAATACCATCGACTATTTCATTAATTGAAAAGTTAAGAGCAAAAACATTCAATAACTCTTGCACACTGCAAAGGCGTTCAAACTGAACTGAGAAGTGAATTCTTTAAAAACAATCCAAGTAGGTTTTTGGATCTCCGTGTGGGGAATTCTAGTTGAAGGTACCGCCTTCACAAAATACTATTTGTTATTATTAGCATTAATAATACTATTTGGAATTATTATTAAAGGATGGTAAACGTAAAAGTTAAGCTGCAGACGTTTTTAATCAATGTAAAAAAAATGGAATCGGGGAAGGATAGGAAATGACACAAAACAACTTTTTCATAGTAAGTCCAGTTTATAACCACGAGATTTGATTTAGCATCAATCCTTAACTTTAACTTACTTAACTTTTTACCCTTTTAAACAATTAATGCTTTTTTACTCCTTTTTAACTTAATATTAAAATTTATTTAGAAATCGTGAGATGCGGTCTGGTGTGATGTAGGTTTCAGAAAAACATTTTCTTTATCGTGCCAACGTTTCGATGTTTATTGAGATCATCTTCAGAGCCTGGGATTACAATCATTGTTTACATATAACAATTACATTTTGGATGTGGAAAAGTGAATTTATACAATGCAAAATATATTTTATATATATATATATATATGTATATTTTTGTATATACATATATATACAATAAATAAATAACATATATATACATATATATATACAAAGTATATACATATATATACAACAAAATAAAAAATATATTTTGCATTGTATAAATTCACTTTTTCACATCCAAAATGTAATTATTATATGTAAACAATGTTTGTAAATCCCAGGCCCTGAAGATCATCTCAATAAACATCGAAACGTTGGCACGATAAAGAAAATGTTTTTCTGAAACCTACATCACACCAGAACGCATCTCACGATTTCTAAATAAATATCGATTAACGGTCACTAATCACCACACATTAATATTAAAAAATATAAAAACTATTTTTTCTATTTACTATCTTCTTTTACATTTCATTTTTCTCATTGCCTTATTTTGGTTACTCATAGATATATTAGATATCTCTCTCTTACTCTTTCTCAATCTTTTTTTCTCTCTCACACTCTATTTATTCTCTCTATTTCTTTCTCACCCTCTTATTCTTTTTTTTCTCTCTCTCTCTCTGCTATTATTATTAAAACAACTAATTTATGCTACCAAACATTCATTGGTTACATTTAAATATTTCTCTGAAAAAGCAGCATTTTGTACTGCATTAATATGATTATTGAAATTGAAATTGATGAATTCTTAACACTACCAAAATCGGTAATTGAATTCAATTTCTAAATAATTTGTATTTATAGATTTATGGTGAACTTTCTTATTTTGTATGATTTGTAAAAAAAAGATAACAGCATCCAATTTGATTTTTATTTCTCAACGACCTCCGGCAGTCGGAATTTCTTCGATGCTGCCTGTTACTTTACTCATTATAAATTTGGTTTGTGTATTATTTGACTGACTGTTAATTTATACAAGCTCAAATGTGCACCTAGGCAGATCACCCATCTCGGCAGTCCATGGTCAGACGTCGGGATATCCGTCCATATCAGCCCCCAACGCAATCAGCCCCCAAATCCAAACCCATTCATCTCTCACTTGTGTTCTATTTGATAAATTACATTATTATTATAAACAACTAGTTTATCGGATAGTTAAATGATTAATTTGTATAACGTTACTTGTCAGCCTTCACGGCGTTCAAGAACCACACTTCCGCAACATTTGCATGTCTTGCGGGTTTAGTATAAGGGGAGTGCCGTTTAAGTCAATCACTAATATTTCTTCCCAGGGATTAAAAAAAACAAAAAAACTCCAAAGGCAAAGATTTTTCTTTTCACTTCTACTTTATAGATGTTTTAATTGTATCACAATAAAATAATGAAATAAGCCATTAAAAGCCCTTGAAAGAATTGATTTATGCAACAATTGTCGAGAATTGTGTATTGGCGGTTTATTTTTGCATGGATATAGTGTTTTTATATTAACACCTTTCACAGTCAACTTTAAATTTATGCGATAAACAACCTCTACGGGATTTTTATTTATAGATTATAACTATTTTCCCTTTATAAACTCTTTTACTGGGTAATCCTATTATAAGTTATATCCTATTGTAAATTATAAATTTTTACAATTGGAACGATAGAACGATAATATCGAAAGGTGTAATTTACGATCTTTCGAGACACCACAAGGAACGGTGGGTGAATGCGGAAGCTGAGGTAATTTAGCAGCCGGATCGTAAAACGAATTAGTTTTCGCTCGTAATTTTCAATGCTGGGACCACGTTGAATATGAAATTCGAAGATGCAGAGATTCTGCTGTAGGTACTGATTTATTCGACAATAACGCGGATCGACACTAATAATTAAATTAAACTCGTACAGTATCTATCTATAATTCAATCCTGTTTATTTAGCATTATGGAGGAATATAATTGACCATTTTTGATCAACAGTATCAATGCGAAGCTTGGATGCTCCAAAAATACGGTTCTTAGAAAAACTTCGCGTTTGATGAAACTATAAATTTGTGAGAAATTGTTACAGAGAGCAGGGTTATTGATCCTCAACTTTAAGTTCTACAGCTTGAAAAAAAAGCAAAATAACCACAATACAGCAACTTGAAATAAATTAAAATAACATTTTTGTTCCATCAACCGGAATATTCGTCCACAAACCCATGAAAAAATGTAAAAGCACTCTTGAAATGACAACCGATAACCAAATTTAAAAAAAAATTAAAATGGAGTAACTTAACAAAATCTTTCGACGCTTGGCACGGAAAATTAATACTTTTAAAGTTTATAACAACTAGCATATATTAGCCTTAGAAGTAACATTATATATATAAATTAGAAAGATTATGCGTCGACAATAAACTGAGGTCATTGCCGGCCATCTGCATGTTCCTTTTTTTCTATTCTTGCGCACTGATTTAGTTTTAAACGGAAGCCATTCGTGCGTTTCACTCAGGTTACTGACTCTCTGTTAGTAATTTTATAAATGATTATTACAAATTATTAAAGCATTGTTGCTTCATTACGCATACTGGGGCTTCTGGTTCAATTAGCAATTTACATATTCACATGCACGTACATGGTAATGAACTGGAACGTATATATGAATGTATTATCCTTCAGCATTACACCGTCTCACATGTGCTAAGTGTCGTTTGCGTGAAATTAATCTGTAATTAATATTAATTAAAAACGGAAAATTAACAATAAACAACATTTTATACTCTATCCAGACAAATGTAAGGTTTATCGCTATTTATCCAGGCAGAATTATTTTTCTGCATTTAATTACAGTTCATGTATAACTTTTGATGTAGAAAGACGTCCTTCCATATATTATAATTGAAATAAAATGTCGAAAGCATTTCTGCACTGGTTGCCTAGCTTTTAACGGTCATCATATATTAATAATTTGTACAATATTAATTAACTAAAAAGTTAAAATTTAATTAATAAAATCTTGCTAACGTTTTCAAACATAATTCATTAAAAATTTTATTGCATTTTATAATAATTATTTTTCCCTA